CAAGACGCACTTTCGGAGGAAATCTCAAAATATCAAATTTATCAACGATTGAAATGTGGCCGGGGCATTGGTAAGCCCTTAAGAGTGTCAAGGACCTACCAATAACTAGTTAGGATGGCACGTAAATCAGAGGGTATAGACTCTGGAAGAGAAGACATAGGGTCAGATTTCAAGTCAATAGAAGTAGTACGCCCATGCCAAGCATTCATCATTCTCCAATCTGTAATGCCAATCATGAGTCCTCTTTGTTATCCCCTATACAGAAGAGACAGGAGCGGGATTGGTACCCTAAGAAAAGCATATGGAGGAGAGTTCGATGTAACTTGTAGATTTCTTTCTACCTTTTCTTCTTTAGCTGAGTTCTCTGTAAGCGAATGAGCTGCTCCACTTTCATTTCGTTGTTAAGGTCTCTAACGGGAGAATACCCAAGCAATGAAATGTTGGCAAATGAGATTTTCTTTAGTAACAGATGCCTTCTCCAACATATCTCGTATGTCAAGCTTTTTTCTTTCCCAAGGAGAGCTAGTTATAGGTCAAGCAGTAACATCATACTTCTCGCACATGAGGTCTAGAAAAGAAAGGTACATAGTTGCTCGACCATAGGGAGAGGGTTTGGCAAAATAGGGCTATCTCTCGAGTTAAGAACATCATCTTCCCTCTCTGAAAGATCAGTTCAGTGACAAATAGAAAAGAAGCAAATAGAAATGAGAACATGCATTGAAAATGGCATAAATAAGCATCCCATTGCAATATCTATTTTTAGATTGAGAAAGTGTTCCGAAATCAATTGATTTGTCATGGTAGAAAATATGTCACGCACAGACCATACTCGAGTTGAATCTTCCCAGAAGCAAAGAGTAGGCCCTTCAATGAAAAAAGACTGAAAATCTTCTTTCGTTTTGATTGTAGATAGTCGATTTGGAAGAGGTAGATATACCTGACATGGCGCAGCTGGATATTTTTTATCAATAGAATAGAAAGAGGTTGTTTAATTGAAAAAATCTAATAAACTGTGTGAAATAATAGAGTCTTGAATTGAAGACTTATCCTTTGAACCGAAGGGGAAAAGAACTCTTTTAAGAAGAATACATGAAGGAAGGAGCAATTAACTTCCTGACTCAACTGATAGGGAGAGGAGGTAAGCTTGTGATCGATATGAATTAGTTTGATAAGGGCCAGGCCAATTCAGTTACCAAGCTATAGGGAATTACCTTAGTCAAATAGGAACCGCTTTCTAGAAGCCTGCCCTGCTTCCCTTTTCTTTTGCCAATGAGGAAGGCATCTCGGAAGAAGAAGTTGGGAGGAAGAATGCAAGCAAGGGATATCCGTATCCTTTCACGCAATATGTTGCTCTCTCTGCGCACGTAGCTATCTTTTTCAGTTTTCTATCGCACTACTGCCCTTTTAAGACCAAGCGCTTTTTCCATAGTTTACACTGTAATAAAATCCTTCTGTTGTTCTTCTTCCTGACCAATCGACCAAGAATTATATAATTTCCTAAGCTTCGACTTATCTTTTAGATTCTCCCCTAATTGAATATTACGATTAAGCAGTTGTGATAGGAAATTTTTGTCAGTTTAAATTGAAAGAACGAGCCCTATGACTATTCTTGCAAAAGTTTATCAATTCCGTCATATATGATAGATTTAAATTTAATACTTTCACAGACTCACAACAAAATGATGACACACTTATGAATTTTGATTACTATCAAGGTAAGGTTAAAATTTAGAAATTATTTTATTAATATATTTATTTATTAAATTAAAAGTTAGAATTTGTTGCAATAAATAAATTTAGAATGACCTTGATGAATAATATGAAGACTCGATTTCTAACTTAAATATACAATAAAAAAAAATAGTGGGAGGTATTGTGAAGTAATGTTTTAAATTTATTAATTTTAATTAAATAGGTTAATAGTAATGAAAAATATTTTCTGAAAATTTAATAGTGGAGACACTAATTCCTTTTTTGGAGTGCAACTTTGTACTGTAAGTATATTAATTAGAAATATTTCAAATAAAGAAATTCATGAGTTAAAAGAGATCTTTTATTTGTTGGTTTGTTATTTAATGCTAAAGATGTTAAAAATGCATTAATTTATGGATTTTTTTTATATAGAATTTCATGGAATTCTTTAAATAACGTTTCAATGATTCTTTAAAAAAATATGCTTTCAAAAAAGTTAATATAGATAAGTTGGTTTTATCAATATATTAATTATTAAACTTTGTAATATTATCAATATATATTTTTGGTAAATTATATTTTTTGAAAAATATTATTTATGAGATGTTAAAAGAACTATTAATTTTCATAAAATGAGGTATATAAATGTGGGCATGGTGAAGAAGTATGGTCCTGCCACACCAAATGGCACCCCATATATCTTAGATATTTTATATAATAAATGTTGCAATTTGGGTAAAAAGACTTGAAGAGGCTATGCTGTCAATTGCATGAAATGGCCACTACGCAAAGCAACTAAGGAGATCGATAAGTGCATGAGACCATTGCACTGTTTAAAGTTCTCCTTTAATTGAGGTCCTTCTCATCCATGTAAATTAAAGATCCACCCACTAACTAAAAGAAAAAGTTTTATTGTTTATTGGAACTGCTAACATCTCCACCAACTTGATCAATTCTTATGAGTCAGCATACACATTGGCTTCAGAAACATAATTTTACATAACCCACAGGTTTTAACCTTCTGCATTAGTATCATATTTTCAAAACTATTGTGCATATTACGTATTCAAGTTTTTGCATGCCTTCTCAATAATATATGTTTATGTATGCATTTAGTGAATTTTTTTTTACCACTTTTTATAAGATATAATCGTTCAAAATTTACTGAATATTAACTTTTTAGATACAACAATTGCGATTACTTTCTCAAGTGCACTGGGTGGGATTGGAAAAAAGTTGTATTTTATCAATTTCAGTTTTTAAGAGTTAAATTTAAATAAATTAAATACATTTTTAATAAAAAAGAATATTTTTAGTTATTTAAGAGGCTAATGAAAAAAAAAATTACATGACTTATTTCTAATTACATCATTTAATAGTTTTATTGCTTAATTATATATTTTATTGCATTAGTTTTGACAACGTATGATTTTAAGTTCTTGAATTTTTCCAAGCCAATTAAATTCTTCTGTTTTAGTTAAAACTTGATTTTATTTATAAGATGCGAGGTTTGATTAAGGATGAAAAAAAAATGATTTTTTAATTTCCGGGACACTATGATATTTTGGACGGTGATTTTTAAGATAAAAATGTTAATTGATTCAATTGATAAAAAATTTGAGTAATATAAATATGAAAATGTCAGTATTTAGATATAAAATTTAACATTTTTTATTTCAAAAATAAAAATTTTTATCATCTTAAACAGATTAGATACCTATACCAAATTTAATCATAATTGATTTAGTATCATTCAAAGTCAAACATAAAATCGAAGTTTAATTGAAATAACTACATATGTATCGCACAAATCACTGCAGAGTTAAAGTCAATTAGCCCCGTTGGAAACCTATATAAATCCACTCAAAGACACGATTATGATAATTAAAAATAATGAAGAATAATTCTACAAGTAAATAAAAAAAATTAAATATTACAGATGGATTTAAATATTGATTTATTGACGATAAAATTATAGACACATTGTTTCTATCTGTAAACCTGTCTATAATTACAAAATCTATCTATAAATTTTGAAAAACCTATCTATATGCATTCTACACACTACTGTATCCTAACATTGATTAGATCTTCTAATTTAAACGTGGAAATGTTTCTTGTAATAACACACTCCTCTCTAAAGCTAATTTATAACCAAAAATCATTGTTAACTATCACTTAAAACTATTAATATATCGGAATAGACACTCATCTCGACTATCCAATACACATTAACAATATATCAAAATTAAACTATAAAAAAAAAAATACTACCTTTAGACTCTAAGAAACAATTACTAATATATTTTGTTTTTCTAAAGTATAAGAAACAAAGATCTATTTTTAAATACATTAATTGCTAATTTTTTATTTTTATTTAATTTGAGTTTTGTGTTAATACAATACTTATCCTTTATTGTGAACATTTTTATTTATTTATTATATAAGACACCAATTAATATTGTAGAAATTTTTAAAATAGATTATATATAAATTAAATTTATAACATTTAACTATTTTTATTACTTTTGAAAAATAAGATATTTTTTATTAATCAAATTAGAGATAGTAATAAAATTATGATCATTAGAAACTTAAATATATGTTTTTAGAAAGAGGAATATTAGAAACAAACTCCATAATTTGCTCAATACATTAAAAACTAAAAATATCATGTGAGTTCTACTTTTTCTTACTCTTTAAATTTATGTTTCTTTCATATTTTTATAATTTTTAATAAATTTTAATTAATAATAAAAATGTATTAAAAATGTGTTAATAATATTCTTCTTTCAAACACAAAGAAATAATATTTATTGTTCCAAAAAAAATGAATAATTCATTCATTCTAATAAAAAGTATTTATATTATAAATTTATACAGTATATGAAAATATATTCATCATAATAAATGGTCAAATTAATAATTAACATATTAAATTAATAAATCTATCTATTTATATAAATAATCAGTACATGTCTTGTTAATTCAAATTTTATAATAAATAAAGTCATAAATAAAATTTTACTTATTTTTTTATATTTAAAAAAAACTTATAAATAAAAAAATACTAATAGCACAATATTCAATGTATTCTACAGCTAAAATTCTAAAAAGTAAAATAGGATAAACGTGTGCAGAAATTTCGAAAGCCAACATAAGAAAGACAAAAATCACTGTAGTTGTCAAATGTATAGAAAGAGTCCTTAAAATAAATATGCAATTACTGTCACAAAGATTAAGTTCTTCCAACTTCTCAAATGAAAATGTGCAGAGTTCTTCACTTGAAAATCTAGGGTTGAACAGCATTAAAGGGATTCAAGTCCTTGAGTAAAATGAGCAGCAAAAACCTCCATTTCTTGTTTGTTCAACACCAACCCAATCTCAATCCCTCCATTTTCATTCCTACTCTCAGACAGACAAAATGCTCCTGTTTTGCCTATTGAAGTCATATCCACCTTCTTTGGCCTTCCCCATCCAAAATCAATACCATAAACCTCAAACCTTGGAGATCCAGCAGTGCTAAGTATTTTATTATCATTTGCAATTTGCATCATTGTAGACAATGTTACTGCTCCACTTAGCACCCCATCATCCAATTTTTTCAAAGCTTCAGTAATCCCCTCAAGAGCATGGATGAAACCATCATCTCCCACAAACTTTTTTGTCTCATTCATAACCTTATGGCCTATGATGCAATTTCCAAAATATGAGGAAGGAATAGGTGGCTCCAAGCGAGACCTACAATCCACACTGAACAAAAAAGCTACTCCATTGGCCTTTGGTTGTTCTGCTTTGACTAAGCATTGCAACACATAAGCACATGTAACCGCATATGTTGACAAGTGAGCATTCTCTTTCAGCTTAGATTTTTCATGCTGCTTAAGCTTTTGGACATTTTTTGAGGTTAATTCAAACGAACCTCTAGTTGATTCCTTTGACATTGCACCACCAAAATCCCACACCTTCATGCTTCTATTGTTTGGCCCTCCAAAGTTCAACCAACTATTCACGTACATTGCACCCATTCCTGAGGGGTCTCTTATAATTGACCTGTCATAAATGGGTGTTAGATGTTTAGGTAATGACGAAAATGATGATTCTCCAAGGTTATTGGAACAGGCATGGGCCCATGCTTTGAGAAACAAAGTTGAGGTCTTCCCATCACAAGCTGCATGGTGTGTGGATATTCCAAGACTAAAGCCATGGTTTGGAAAAAGGGTAACTTGAAGAGCCATCACACATGCCTGTTCATGGGAAGTGGCCAAAAGGGGTATCAAATTGAGGAGTTGAGAAGCTTCACAAGTGTTGGAACAAAGGAGGTTGAAATTTGCATTGGACTCAGCAATGGTTAAGGAAACAGCATTGCCAGGGACATAGTTGATGATGGGGTGGGGTGAGTCATCAGGCCATGTGATGGTGCCAGCAAGAGGGAGGAAGTGGTGGAGTGTGAAGGAAAGAGAGTGTTTGAGATTGGGAAGAATGGAATCAAAGAATGAGATTGTGGGGTTTGAGAATTCATAGAAGAAAACACGTTCAACTGGTGGAGACCTTAGCCATAGTAAATCAAAGAAGGTGAAAGGAAGGGAAGTTGGCGCGGAGGAAGTGGTTCTTCCCTGTGTTGGTGCCACTGAACACTCCTGAAGAACTTTCACACTTGTTGTTTGCTCCATGGCTAAGAACTCGATCTTGGGCATCACCAATTTTGCTCCAAATCTGTTTATATATGATTTGGGATTGCAAATTCCAATACTCTTCGTCTCAACAACAAATACGCGTAATGGACATTTTATTTTTAATAAAATTTATTATTTTTAAATATTTAAACTCAACTTTAAATATTTAAGTTAATAAAATTATTCATTATTTTATCTTTTAATTTTTATAAAATGTATTTTTAAAAATAAATATTTTTTATAAGGTACTCTATAATTATATTTATTACATTTTTCTTGTTTATTTTCTTAAAAGCAATTTGGTGGAAATATTAATTTCAAGTAACAAAGGTAAATATTAAACGAGAATAAAATTAATTTGTTATAATATTAAAAAATATTTATTTAAAAATATGTTATAAAATAAGTAATAGAATAATACCTAAACACATGCAAAAATATTTTAAAGAAACAAGCACGAGGTGCACACTATACGAAGCTGGTCAAAACAGTTCCGCTTAGTGCAGCAGGTACGCGTGCTTCAATAATGGTCAATTTTTTTTAAACAAAAGAAATAAAGATATTTTTAATACATTAATTATTAATTTTATATTTTTATTTATTATAAAATTTATATTAACAAAATATTTAATTTTTTAATATTTATTTATAAATGTATAATATATTAATTTATAAGACATAAATACTTTTTAAATATTAATTAATTAAATACTTATTTTTATTAAAAAATTAGAAGTATTATTTTTTATTAACAATTTTCTTATGTTAAAAATTAATAAATAAAGTTATTAAATAAAAGAAGAATTTTATTAAATTTAGTTATTAGAGTTGAGTTTAAGTATTTAAAATTATAAAAATATAATTTTTTAAAATTAATTACTTAATTGTACATTCGACGAAACACACTTTTTCAATTAAGTATTCTGCACGCGGAAAGTGAGGTGTATAATTTTATTGACAGATGGCAGAAACGAATCTGTCAGAATTATTGAAGTACTTGCCTGAGTTTAAGGAACATATCATATTATATTATTATTTCAGTTTAAACTTTTAGAAAAAGATTATTCTATTTTAGTTTTTAAATAATACGAAAGTATAATATTTTTGTTTTTGATAAAATAACCTAAAACTATGTACTTTATTTAAATATTTTTATATACTTCTTTTTACTAATTTATCAAATCAATACTATATATGTTACACCTCCACTTTATTTTTATCAATTATCAAATAAATTTGTGATAAAAAAAATTAATTTCAACAACTTTAAAAGATAAAAAAGCTAAATCTAAAAAATTAAAATTAAAAAAAGCTAAAATTATACATTAATTAATATATTAGTATTATCGTTTATAATCTATTTAACTGGAAAAAAAATACTTGTGTTCTATAATAAATTAAATATCACAATAAAAAAATGTAAACTTTATGTTGTGTTTAGATGAAAGACATTTAAATTTTAAAAAAAATAAAAATAACAACGAAAGATGCTTAGAGCGAAAGTTAAGTTTAAAAAAATTATAAATGATAAAAGTAAATGTTAAGTATAATAAAGAGATTTTAAGTTATTTTTATAAATAAATCAATTTAATTTGTTTATTTTGCATAAAAATTATTTAATTAAAATTCAATAATATTTTGAAATTAATATTTTTTGCTTTTCAAATAAATGAATTGCTGTTATTTTACAAATACTACCTTAAACTTTTCATGGGCATTTATTCTTATTAACATGGTCTTGTAAAAAATTATTTTCATAGTTTACCCCAACTAACAATTAGAAGAAAAGCTGTGTTTTTAATTTGATTAATTCATATTATGTTATTCAGTTCAGCCCCATCCAAAATCATGATCTACAAAAGTGTAAATGTATTGAAACCCTTTTTTGTTTCTTTGATTTTTTGTTGGGGGTTCCAACCCATGAAGCATTTCAATTAACCATGAGTGAAAACTTTGGTGCCAAGATGTTTGGGTTCATTTCATCACACAAGGGTCCATTTTGAAGTTAATGGTCCTTGGGTCTAACATACCTGAAAGATTAGGTATTAGGGCCTTTGGGTATTTGAGTTCAAATTATTAAGACATGCATGTTTCTATTTTATGTTACCTTCTTTCATTTTCCTCTTCCCATTTTTAATTATAAGGAACAGATTTTGCTCCATGTTTAAGAAAGCTAATCCTTAATCATACAAAAAAATGGTGTTGAAATAGTCTCTTCATCCACAAGTGAGAGAACAATAACAAACAAGTTATTGTAGATATTGTGTAACTCCAAAGTCCAAGCTCAAGGGATGTTATAAACTTGTGTAATAACAAATTATTATAGATATTGTTGAGAAATACTGTTTATTAATTAAATTTAAATTTAAAATTTTATATTTTAGAAAGTTCATGTTGTTGTAAAATATTAAAGTAAAATTCTAATGTTAATTAATAATCTGGATCTAAATTTTTGTCTCAAAGGCATTAGTTTTTATAAAACAATTAACATAAATTTCTACAGAAAGAGAATGTGACCAACACAGTTATTTCTTAAAAAAATTACTCGTAAAGGACATGTGAGATTAGTATAAACAAAATAAGTGAGTAATAATAAACTTTTATATTAAAAATAAGAGTATTTTATTTAAAAAATGAGATATTAAATAAAATTATTCTCTTCCATAATTAAGTAACGTGTGTTTTTTAAATTTAAAATTGATTAAAAATTGTATATGAACTATACATATTATTTTTTGCTAATAAATTTAATTTTTAATTATAATTTAAATTTTAAAGATAAAAATTGTTATTTAATTTTTTATTATCTTGTATAAAGTTTAAATTTTTCGTCAATACATACAATAATTTTTTTATTAATTTATATTCAATAGTTATAAAATTAAGTTAAAATAAATTTTAAAAACTTAATGTTAAAAGTAACTATATCATGTAATATATATAATTATTCAAAAAACTTATAAAATTATGTTATTTAATCATTAAAATATTTATTTATTTTAAAATAAAATATCTGTTCATTTGTTCTTGTGACTAATATAAGTAATGAAATCAATTTCTGTCACTAATATATTTTTTTCCTCCTTCAAAATACGTATTATTAACAATTTTAGTGTGCCAATTAATCAAATTAATTTTTGTTTAATAATAAATGACACATGAACACTTATTTTTTTATAAGAAAAATATATGGAAACAGAGTTTTAATTATTATTATTATTATTATTATTATTATTATATTGATCCCAAAGTTTACGTAAGGAGATGGGATATTGGATCAAGTGCAATGATGCTAATGTTGCAGCGAAGGCTTACCAAAAGATGAACAAATATGACAGTGCTAAAACAGTACACAACTCCCTCTTTACCATGCATGCACCACTGCACTGACATTTTAAATATTTAATGGTTTTATTCTTTTAGATATTAAATTCAGTGGAAGAAATTTCTGTCATTTTTTAAAATATTTATGATTAAGTAAAACTCATTAAGAATTTCAAATAACTTTACTCTTAAGACTGAAATTAAATATTTCAAAATAATAATTTTTTATTAAAAATATTTATTAGTTTTAAATACAAAATTTATTAATATTTTTGTCTCTGCAATATACCTGATTTTCTCTTTGTTTTTGTTCTGTTTAATTACTAAATTTACTCTTGAAGCTAATAATACTTTTTTTAGTCTCTAAGTAACGATGTTAACATTTAATCTGAGCTTTTTATTTAATTTAAATTTAATATGTTATAATTTATTATTTTACTGATAATGAGATTTAAATTAAATAAAATGATTAAATATAAAAAATTTTAAATGTTAATATAAAAAATCTTTTCTCATATATATTAAACAAAATAAAATATAATAAAAGTTTTATTATATAAAAATAAATTTATAATTATTTTAATTGTAGGGAGATAGATGTAATTTGAATGGGGTTTTCTGGTACTGTTTATAGTTGTCTCCACTGGAAACTGAAAAGGGTTTTTTTACTTTAAATTTTGACTCAAAAGGGAAAATGATGAGATGCGGAAATAAACACAAGAATGAGGCGACAAAGCAGAAAGCATGCGCACGCCGACGACAAAGAAATGAATTGAAGACATTAACTTTAGAAAACCACACATATCCCAACGAAGCGTGTTAACATCTTTCCATCTTTTTAACAATTCTTGAACACCACATCATCAAAATTTAGCTGCAATAAAATGTTTTTTATATTTTATTCTTTTGATGATATAACTTTATTTCAGTTTTTTTTTCAATTTATAAGATTTATTGATTTTTTTGTTTATTTTTATTTAATTGTGAGAAGTTAAATAAAAATGAATGATATAATTAGAATTATAATATCAATTTAAACTTTCTTCATCTACGTATAAAATACTTTAAACAATAAAAAACATGAGAAATGAAGGAAGTAAGCTTTTACTCTCTTCGGCCTATTTATAAAAGATTTTGTTAATATTAATTTTTAAGATTAAATTTAAATATTTACAAATTATAAAATTATATTAAAAATATAATAAATATTTCTACTTTTAGATAAATGTTTTCATTATTCATGGCTTACTTTTAGATAAATATTTCTCAATTTTCATTATAAACTTTTATTATTTTTTAATATAAATTCAAATTTTTTTTTATTAATTTATACGATTTAGTTTAAAGGGTTTTAGAAAAATGACTAGAAGAGTATTAAATTTTTTAAAAAATAATTAAATTAATATATTTATAATATTAAATCTTCTAAGTTTTTAATGAAAATTATTATTAATTTAATTTTCTTAGTTTGTACTAAAAAACATCAGAATAAATAAACAATAATTTTATATTAAAAATCATATCATGCAATAAAACAATACATTAAACTTAATAATTTTAATAAAGAACTACTATATATTAATTTTTATTTTACATTCATAAAAATAATTGTAGCTTTTAGAAAATAAATTATTATTAATTTTTTATTATGTATAATTAAACATTAACTTTTCATT